AAGTGCTTTGTTAATAATTCTATGGCTCGAAGTGGAGTCCGTGTATCCATCATTTCCTGGTCTTCTCTAAAGAAGAGGGACCAATGGAAACGTTGTCATGTTGCCGTTGTTCAGCATGGAAACATTCATTAGCTAACAATGACATTATTGTTCTATTAATATAAAGGGAGGTCAGGTACTCTTTAAAACAGCTGCTAGTTATGGGTACTTTTTACTGAAGTACATTTCAAAGCCTCTTTACTTTGACTTGAGTATCTTTAAACACGAGTATCTGTACTTCTACCTGAGTAAAGGATGTGTGTACTTTTACCATCTCTGACCTCCAATAATTATGAAGATTTGGACATGAAATATGAATGAGGGACCCTTTTCCTGACTTAAATATGTTGCATACCATCCATCTCTAACGCTGGTCTCCTCTCCAGTTGCTCCTGAGGTTGACCTGGATGCCTCGGTGAAGGAGAGGATGGTAGTCCACGCCGGCGGAGTGATCCGGATCATTGCCTACGTGTCGGGCCAGCCGGCCCCCGAGGTCACATGGACTCGAGATGGTGCCGCGCTGCCTCTAGAGGCAGTGGTGGAGACGACCGGCATCAGCTCGTCTCTGGTCATCAAACCCTGCACCAGGAAGCACCTAGGCGTCTACACGCTGACCGCCAAGAACGCCGGCGGAGAGAAGACCAAGAACATCACTGTGGAAGTCCTGGGTAAGCAGATCCGGCACATGAGACTCTATGGTCTGAAGGTCAACGGTTATCTGGTTGTCTTTTTTTCGATATTATCCTGAAATAAGGTCTGTGTAGCAGTTGTGTGTCATGTGACCGTGCTGTAGCTCCTTTATAGCCCAACATTAGCCGTCTTTAGCTTAGCGGTGGTGACGTGAAGTCATGTGACCGTACTGTAGTTCCTTTAGCTTAGCGGTGGTGACGTGAAGTCATGTGACCGTGCTGTAGTTCCTTTATCTTAGCGGTGGTGACGTGAAGTCATGTGACCGTGCTGTAGTTCCTTTAGCTTAGCGGTGGTGACGTGAAGTCATGTGACCGTGCTGTAGTTCCTTTATAGCCCATCATTAGCCTCCTTTAGCGTAGCTGTGGTGACGTGAAGTCATGTGACCGTGCTGTAGTTCCTTTATAGCCCAACATTAACCACCTTTAGCATAGTGGTGGTGACGTGAAGTCATGTGACCGTGCTGTAGTTCCTTTATAGCCCAACATTAACCACCTTTAGCTTAGTGGTGGTGACGTGAAGTCATGTGACCATGCTGTAGTTCCTTTAGCTTAGCGGTGGTGACGTGAAGTCATGTGACCGCGCTGTAGCTCCTTTATAACCCAACATTAGCCTCCTTTAGCTTAGCAGTGGTGACGTGAAGTCATGTGACCGTGCTGTAGTTCCTTTGTAGCCCAACATTAGCCGCCTTTAGCTTAGCGGTAATGACGTGAAGTCATGTGACCGTGCTGTAGCTCCTTTATAGCCTAAAATTAGTTGCCTTCAGGGACCAACACAGACATGCCTAATGACCCTCCATTTCCCCCCCAGACGTCCCCGGGCCTGTGGGAATCCCCTTCAGTGCGGAGAACCTGAGCAGCGAGTCCTGTAAACTCAGCTGGTTCTTCCCGGAGAACGACGGAGGCTCACCAATCAGCAACTACATTGTGGAGAAGCGTGAGGCCGAGCGTAAGGCCTGGACCGCCGTGTCCTTCACTGCCAGCCGGCAGAACGCCGTGGCTCAGGGCCTCACCACCGGCAAGTCCTACTTCTTCAGAGTCGCCGCCGAGAACGCCATTGGGCTCGGACCCTTCATGTGCACCGCCGCCGAGATCCTCATCAAAGAACCCATGAGTGAGTCCATCTACAATCAGGAAGTCTGAACCATGAGAGGAGGGGCATTTAGAAGAGTCACAATGTCATTGATAAATTAGAAACAGTCAATCCTATAATCAAGTAAAATATAATATAATTTAAATAATCCCATAGCTAGTTCCCATCTGCAGATCCTGTGTGTCTGAGATTGTAGAACACATTCAAACTGAAAGTCTAAAAACTATTTTCAAGATACATGTTGATGTCAACAAAAGAAAATAATCATAATTGTAAAAAAGGAAACATTATGAAGTCAGAAGTCCAACTTTGTATCTATAAATATGTCCCTGAGCAAGACACTTCACCCCAACCCAAATTGCTCCTGAGCGGATTTCCCAAAGTACTGAATGTATGTAAGTTGCTTTGGGTAAAAGAGTCTAAGTGAAATGTAATGTCATATCCAGACAGTTAAAAACCTTCTTAATGAGTTCTTGATCTGCAGATATAAAGTTTACCTGTCCCTCCCAGGTGTGCCGGACCGCCCTGAGGAGCTGGAGGTCACCAAGGTCACCAAGGACCTGATCAGCGTCACCTGGAAAGCCCCGAAGTTCGACGGCGGCTCGGAGATTATCATGTACATGCTGGAGGCGCGCATGATCGGCAAAGACAAGTTCAGCCGTCTGACCAAAGACGCTCTGATGGAGAGGAAGTTCACGTTCGACGGTCTGCGGGAGGGCGACACCTTCGAGTTCAGGGTCATCGCCGTCAACGAGGTCGGGCCCAGCAAGCCGTCCTTCGGCACCAAACCTATCACCTGCAAGGACGAGCTGGGTGAGTTTCAGGAGATTCAAATCAGCAGGTCATCTCAGTGGTATTTCCATGCATATCTCATCAGAACCAGAACCAGAATCAGAATCAGAACCAGAATCAGAAACAGAACCAGAATCAGAAACAGAATCAGAAACAGAACCAGAATCAGAAACAGAATCAGGTTTATTACCAGGTAGTTTGACACTTACGAGGAATTTGACTTGGTGTTGTGGTGCATACATAAAAGTAATACAAAAATTAAAAACACTGAAAGAAAACTATTTTGAGAAAACTATAATAACTTATAGTAAATATAGTAACATAAATATGGTCAGAGAAAATCATAGAAATACAAAAGTGGAAAAGAAAAACTCCCAATAAAAATATGTAAACAACAACTAGATGATATATCTCCTTTGGAAGGAAAGAGCCGTGCAGTTGTTATAAACTAGTAGTACTGGTACTTTCAATATCAGCTCACAATCAGTCTCCCTGTCTCACAGAGCCGCCCACCATCGAGCTGGACTTCCGCGATACGATCGTGATCCGTGTGGGCGAGAGCTGCCTGCTGCAGGGCCGCTATACCGGGAAACCATCCCCGTCCATCCTGTGGTACTGCGAGGATGAGGAGCTGAAGGCCGACAAACACGTGATGTTCAAGAACACGCTGACCACCATGTCTCTGGGCCTGATGAAGGCGCAGCGCAGACACAGCGGCAGATATGTAGTGGTGGTGGAGAACAGCACCGGCTCCAGGAAAGGGGTCTGCAACATCACCGTGGTCGGTACGTACAGATGTTGATACCAGCCAGCGTAAAATCGTATTAATAAAGATGAAGTGCAGCAGCTGAATCCATGAACTAGAGAGAAAAAGAAAAGGTCCATGCATAGACCCCTGCGGGACACCACCCGTTTGCTTTTAAAGTACTATTAGTAGGTTTTCAGATGCAAAGAATTTGATTTTTGATATAAAAATGGTTGAAGAAAACTTAAAAGCAAGAAACTTCAATATAAGATTAAAGGATAAATATAATATATATTTTTTTAAATATATACAATTTATTTGAATTAAGATTAAACTGTGAAAATGAAAATGTATTAATAATTTTAGATTAAAATACATTTTAATCCTAATAAAAATGAAAAATACAATTATTTTTGGTTCAATCAGGTCAAGCAGCAAAGTATTGCTTTGAAAATAATATCAGAATCAGAAACTGAAACTGATCAGATTATATATTAGATTAGATATTGTAAACTAAGAAATATAAACATATTTTCCTACAAAACACAGAAGTGACCTCAGCCATATGGATACGTCCAAAGAGGCAGCAACAGAATAGGATATGGATGATAGAAAGAAGGGGTCTCAGAGTAGATATTTATCGCGGTATCGGTTGATCACATGGTCTCCTCCCTACAGACCGCCCAACCCCCCCTGTCGGCCCCGTGGTGTTTGAGGAGGTGCACAGGGAGTTCATGGTGGTCTCCTGGAAACCTCCTCTGGACAGCGGCGGCGTAGACGTCTCCAACTACATCATCGAGCAGAGAGACACCAACCGCGAGGCCTGGACCACTGTCACCTCCGCCAACACCAAGACCTTCTGCAAGGTGAGCAAAACCCCATCCAGACTCCTGTCCACCTGACTCCTGTCCCCCTGACTCCTGTCCACCAGACTCCTGTCCACCAGACTCCTGTCCACCAAACTCCTGTCCACCAGACTCCTGTCCACCAGACTCCTGTCCACCAGACTCCTGTCCACCAGACTCCTGTCCACCAGACTCCTGTCCACCAGACTCCTGTCCACCAGACTCCTGTCCACCTGACTCCTGTCCACCAAACTCCTGTCCACCAGACTCCTGTCCACCAGACTCCTGTCCACCTGACTCCTGTCCACCAGACTCCTGTCCACCAGACTCCTGTCCACCTGACTCCTGTCCGCCAGACTCCTGTCCACCTGACTCCTGTCCACCTGACCCCAGCCTGACTCCTGTCCACCTGACTCCTGAGCATGGTTTATCCCTAGTGGGGGTCTGTTTCTAACAAGTTGTCTCTGTGGTGGGTATTTTCTCTCAGATCCCGAAGCTGACGGAGGGCCGTGAGTACATCATGAGGATCTCTGCGGAGAACATGTACGGCATCAGCGACCCGCTGGAGTCCGAGGAGATGAGAGCCAAAGATCTGTTCAGTACGTTATGACCAGGGTTGGGAGGGGTACCTTAAATATATAATCTGTTACAACTACTAGTTACCTATAGCTAGTTATAGTATATTGATCTGTATTTGAAAATGTATTGTAGCAAATAATATGAGTAATATTGTAATGTAAGTAACTGTAATGGAATATTACGCAATCCTGTTACATCACACTGAAAGAACCAACTCACACTTTATCTTTGTATTGTTTCTGTTCTGATTTTATGTTATTATGAAAAATCCCATGTGTTATTATTATACTATCAGTACTGGAGTAAAAGTACTTGGATACACCTGATAACCCTGTGTGCTCCCTGCAGGGGTCCCTGAGGCCCCCGAGATGCCCACGGTCAGGGAGGTGTACGCCACCAACGCCCTGGTGCTGTGGACCCGGCCCCGCGACGGAGGAAAGCCCATCACCAACTACATCCTGGAGAAGAAGGAGCCTGCCGCCAAGAGATGGTCCCGGGTCACCAGGGAGCCGCTGTACCCCGCCACCCAGTACCGCGTGCAGGACCTGGTGGAGGGCTGCGAGTACGAGTTCAGGGTGATGGCCGAAAATGAGCTGGGCACCGGGGACCCCAGCCTCCCCTCCAAACCCATCCTCGCCAAGGACCCCATCGGTAAGAGCTGCACTCAAATATTTCGATTTATTTTGAGTAAATATTTATTATTATTACAGATTTTGTATCTATTACATCCTACGTCATTTTTCTTGTATAATTACAAAAAACTCCTCCTGCATGATTACATTTGGTTTCGTAAGACAATATATATTCAAATTTTATATTCAAATTTCTTTATTAGGATAAACCCCTTGAGGTGAATCACCTCGTTTTCAAGGGGGTCCCAAGAAAACAAATAACAAACAAGTACAACATACAAACAACATTCACACACATACATCGGAAGAAATAACCAAGAAATTACAAACATTCAGCCTAAGCATACAGCACATGGTAATACATTATAGGCGGTTACATTGAATGCATATCATTGGGTAGAGTAAAGTATGAGTATGCAAAATATAAGCATTTTATTTATATTTGGTGTTATCTTTTTATGTTCAGAAGAAATATTAGAATTGAATTGAATGAAACATTTCTATAGATAATTATTAATTAGTTATTATTATCATTGTTATGTCTGGATAACATATTAGCATGGCATTTAGCATTTTGTAGCATTGTCTTTTAGCATTAGTTATTAGTATTTAGTATTATCTAATTTATCTCCATGCTAAATATAAGCATTGTATTAAGACATTTATTTATCATTTTTTTATTGTTTTTTGCTATTTTCCTATGTTAAATAATACATATCTTTAAAAAAGCAATATCTTAAAATTATTTAAATTGAGGACTTGGCTCTTTATCTTCATTAGCAGCAGCATTAATTGTCTTGCTAAATGCTTACAGCTCTACTTACTCAACCATAAAAGAGCTTTGACACTAAACACGTTGTTGATTCTTGTTCCTATGTTTCCCCCTGCAGTGTGCCCCAGCCCCCCCGTGACCCCCGAGTCCTACGACAAGACCAAGGACTCAGTAAGCCTGAGGTGGAAGATGCCTCGCCACGACGGGAAGGGTCGTATCTTCGGCTACCTGGTGGAGTACCAGAATCCCGGCGCCGTGGAGTGGCTTCCGGCTAACGAGACCCCGGAGCAGTGCCCCGACCTTCACTACGTGGTGACGGGCCTGGAGGACGGAAAAGAGTACAACTTCAGGATATTCACAGTCAACGCCGCCGGCAAATCTGACCCCGCGTTTGTTAAGACCAGCGTCAAAGTGCACGACAGGATGGGTACGTCTCTCTGGCTGACACGTTTCAGATTCATTTCAAATAGATAGATGATACCAAAACATCCTGGTCAATAACATTATATTATTTGTCATTTGCTTCATTTGTTAAAAATACATATTAAGTTGTCTCAGTGCGTCATGAAATTATGATAACTGATGAACAGGATGCACACAAATGTAGCTAGCTGCTAAGTGCATGTGCCTCAGTTTCAGAAAAAAATCTAATTTAAAATGTGTAACTATAATATTATTTAATTTCAACATTTTGAAATAGAATATAATTAAATGATAGAACAGGTACATTTTTTCTCGAAAGCATCATAAGTGTTTTCTATTGATCAGCTGGTTAGCAATCTGCAAAATAAATCTGTTCATGTACAAATGGATAAATCTTCCTTTTAAAACGTATTAAAAACTTTCTTTAAATGCTAAATTCTGTGTTTTTATTGTCCACAGAGGAACCTGAGCTGCTGCTCGATGCCAACATGGCGCGGGACCACCTCGCCATGCTGGGATCCGACATCACGCTGAGCGCCACCATCAAGGGAGTGCCCACGCCCACCGTCAGTTGGAAGAAGGATGACGGAGACGTCCCCGCTCACATCACCGTGGCCGTCACTGCCAGCGGCAGCAAGGTCTTCATCCCCAAGAGCACCCGCGCCGACTCCGGCAACTACACCCTCACCGCGGAGAACGCCGTCGGCAAGAAGTCCATCACCGTGGCCGTGCTTGTTCTCAGTAAGTAAAATGCCCACCAGATGTGGAAAGAAACTTTAGGCTAGTTTCCATGTTAGCAGATAGCATATATCTTCAGGCTAGTTTGTATGTAAGCAGTTTAGTTCAATGTTAGCAGTTAATTTCAGGCTAGATAGCATATTTGCATTTAGCGGCTAACTTTTGGTTATTTATCATGTTAGCAGCTAGCTCAGCAGCTCTCAGGTATTTCATTACTTGTGAAGCACTTGCACCTTTGATGTATTTTATTATACCTCCACCTACCTTGTTTCCTCCAGACAAGCCTTCCCCTCCTAGAGACCTGGTGATCTCCGAGATCACCAGCGAGTCCGCTTACCTGACATGGAAGGCCCCCGAGGACAACGGTGGCGCTGTCATCTCGCACTACGTGGTGGAGAAGAAGGACGTGGCGTCCGACCAGTGGGTCCCCGTCTCTGCATCCAATAAGAAGCCCAGTCTGATGGCGCTGTACCTGATGGAGGGAATCCAGTACCTGTTCAGAGTGGCTGCTGAGAACCAGTTTGGCAAAAGCGCCTACGTGATGACCCGGACCCCCATCAAGGCCCTAGACCCACTCTGTGAGTTCACTAAAACATTTTTAGAATCAGCTAACACAATCATAAAACAGAAAGGAGATTACATTACATGACATGTCACTTGTTAGACGCTTTTATCCAAAGCGACTTACATACTCAATACTGTGGGCAATCCCCACAGGAGCAATTTGTGGTGAAATGTCTCAGGGACACAACGACATGCTGACTGCAGTGGGATTCGAACTTGCTATCCTCTGATTCGAAGATCAGCGCACTATCCCACTGAGCCACAACCTCCGATATATGGTAGAACTCCCAATAATCACCACTAACTTCTTCTTTCCTCTCTTACAGACCCCCCCGGCCCCCCCAAGAACCTGCACCACACTGATGCAGATAAGACGGAGGTGTGGCTGGCCTGGGAGTGGCCCGAACGCACCGGGGGCAGCGAGATCACCGGCTTCATCGTGGAGCACCAGGAGGACGGCCAGACCGACTGGGTCCCCTACAAGACCGTCAGCGACAACCACGCCCACGTCACCAAGCTGATGGAGGGCAAGACCTACCGCTTCAGGGTCAAGTCCCAGAACGCCATCGGCGTGAGCCGGCCCGACACTACCGTCCCCATCACCTGCCAGGAAAAGACATGTAAGAAACAGGTTTTATTCTTTAATTTACAACAGAAAATGTAGGAATAAAAATACAATAAAAATGAATGAGGTTAGCCATAAAACAAAATGACACTTTTTGGAACTGCAAAACAACTTATTTCACTGACTTATCCAAGACATTTTTGCAAATATTTATCTGAAGACGAAAATAACTTAACTTTAGAGAGTATTTATTGACTAACACTCCAAACCAATTGTACAACTAATGGATGATCCACAAAGAATAATGCTAAAAGTCCACTTTAAATATTGTCTAAACCAGAAATGTCATTCAGCATGAAAAAACTAAAGCATATTTGACTCAAGAAATCTTAGTCGACTGAAACCAAAGAGACCACAACTAACAGAGGAAGTCTTCATTTACAGGCCTGATAACATGCTAACATGGTTCTGATGGTTCTGTTTCTCTTTCAGTGCCACCAACTATTGAAGTTGATGTGAAGCTCATCGAGGGTCTTGTGGTCAAAGCTGGCACTCCTATTGCCCTGCCGGCTAAGATGACCGGTATCCCCACTCCCACGGCCAAATGGATGAGCGATGGCAAGGAAGTTGTATCTGAAGGACGCTTCAACATTGAGACTGTTGGATGCTCCACCATCCTCAGCATCCCACAGACCCAGAGAGGAGACACCGGAGAGTACCTTCTCACCGTGGCCAATCCCTCAGGAAGTAAGACCGTCGCTCTGCACGTCACTGTGCTGGATCTCCCCGGGCCACCCATCTCACCCATCAACATCTTGGAAGTCACCCCGGATTACATGATGATCCAGTGGAGGGCACCCAAGGATGATGGTGGCACGCCCATCATAAACTACGTGGTGGAAAAGAAGGATGTGAAGAAGCCGTGGGAGCCCTGGTCCGTGGTTAGCTCCGGCGGCACCAGCACCAAGGCTAAGGTGTCCCGGTTGGAGAAGGGTCGTGAGTACATCGTACGCGTCCGAGCAGAGAACAAGATTGGCCTTGGTGCAGGGCTCGAGAGTCCTCCCACTATTGCCAAGCACATGTTCAACCCTCCCGGTCCTCCAGGCCCGCCAGAGTGCTCTGATATCACAGAGAACGCTGTGACAGTGGAGTGGACCCTGCCGGACTACGATGGAGGCAGCCCCATCAGTGGATATGTGATTGAACGCAGAGAAATGACAGGAAAGTGGATCCGTGTCAACAAGACTCCTGTGCTGGACCTCAGATACAGAGTCTCAGGCCTGTTTGAAGGCAACAGCTACGAGTTCAGAGTGTTTGCAGAGAATGTTGCCGGTATCAGCGGGCCTTCTATGAACTCCAACCCTGTAAAGGCCACTCGTGCCATCACTAAACCTGGACCCCCTGGCAATCTTAAACTGAAGGACTGGAGCAAGTCCTATGCAGACATCTGCTGGACCAAGCCTAACAGAGACGGAGGCACTCCTATTCTAGGCTATGTGGTCGAGGTTCAGAAGTCAGGGTCCGCTCAATGGGACAGAATCTCTAAGGACCTTATCAAGATGTGCGCCTTCAGAGTGCAAGGCTTCATTGAAGGAATGGAGTACAGGATCCGCATCAAAGCCACCAACAAGGTAGGAGACAGTGAACCCAGGGAACTGACTGAGACCGTCTTAGCTAAGGACATTTTGGTTCCCCCTGAGGTTGTTGTTGACGCATCCTGCCGCGACTCTCTGACAGTCCGGGCAGGCCAGATCATAAGTTTGATCACCAGGGTGAAGGGACGACCAGACCCAGAGATCACATGGACCAAAGATGCCAGAGCCATGGCCCGGGACAGACGCACCGAGATTAACAACAACTACCCAATGTGTGAACTCGTCATCAACGAGGCCGTCAGGTCAGACTATGGTAAATATGCCATTCTCGCCAAGAACAGCAGTGGACAAGCACAGGCCACCATTATCGTCAATGTCCTGGACACACCAGGACCTTGCCAGAACCTAAGAGTGGCCTACGCCACAAAGAAGTCCTGCATGGTGTCCTGGGAAAACCCAGAGGACAACGGAGGCACAGAGATCAATCAGTACATTATTGAGTGCCGTCAGCCCAGCCAGAGAGCATGGACTGTAGTCGCCAATGACTGCACCAAGCGCCAGATGAAGGCCCCTCTAACTGAAGGCTGTGAGTACTTTTTCCGTGTCAGCGCAGAGAACAAGATCGGTGCTGGTCCAGCCATTGAGTCCAAAGAGCCTGTGCTGGCAGTGGATCCCATCGAGAAGCCCGGTGAACCAATTGACTTCCATATCGCTGAGATCGGCAAGGACTTCTGCTTCCTCAAGTGGAAGAAGCCTGACTACGACGGTGGTAGCCGTAACATTGCTTATCATGTTGAGAAGAAGCCAAAGGAGGCTGAGGAGTGGGAGAGGCTTCACAAGGGCGCTATCAAGGAGACCTACTTCATGGCTGACAGGTGCATTGAAAACCAGTTGTACCAGTTCAGAGTACAGACGAAGAACGAGGGGGGCGAGAGCAACTGGGTGACTACACCTGAAGTCCTGGTAAAGGAACAGCTTGTGGAGCCTGAGGTCAAGATCAAACTGGACGCAACACTCGTGGTCAAGGCAGGAGACTCCTTTCATATCGAGGCGATAGTGAAGGGCAAACCCCAGCCTGTAATCAAATGGAACAAAGACGAGGAAACCCGCGAGATAAGGAAGGGCCTCAGGCATACGCTGGAATCTGGAACCGACTTCTCAAAGCTGCTGATAACCGCTGCCAGACGCACAGACAGTGGTAAATATCTTGTCACTGCCTCCAACAGTGCAGGAACCGCCTCTGCTCATGCTAAGGTTAATGTCTTAGATAGACCCGGCCCCGTCATGGATCTGAAGGTGTCTGGTATCACCACTGACAGGTGCCATCTGTCCTGGGAAGTCCCAGAGGATGATGGCGGCTGCGAAATCTACAACTACATTATTGAGAAATGTGAAACCAAGAGGGGAGTCTGGTCAGTCCACTCTAACGCCATCATCACCAACAAAGCTAAAGTCACTCGGCTCATCGAGGGCAACGAGTATATCTTCAGAGTCCGTGCTGAGAACAAGATGGGTCCTGGGCCCGCGGAGGAGAGTGAAGCCATCGTGGCCGGCACCCAGTTCAATGTACCTGGCGCTCCGGAGGCACCAGAGATCACCAAGATCGGCAAGCATGAGATGACGGTGGAGTGGTCTGAGCCCGAAAAGGACGGCGGAAAGTCCATCATCGGTTATCTGTTGGAGAAGAGGGAGGAGCACGCCGTGAGGTGGTCTCCTGTCATCAAGGAACCAATCCCTTCAACACGTTACACCGTGACCGGACTCCTGCCCCTCCACGATTACCAGTACAGAGTCAAGGCGGTTAATGAAATTGGCATTGGCGGCGCAAGCAAGCCTTCACTCGCCATCACCGCCAAGGACACAGTTGGTACGTAACCAATATTAATGTTAACATCAGAATCAGAATTGCTTTATCCGCCAGATGTAAAACGGAATTTGTTACTTGTTGAGATGAAGCACAGAAAAACAAGTTAAACAAAATAATGATGTACGTTATTCTAAATTGTAAGCAAGTTGAGAATAACACTCGGTTCCCAGATAATGCAGAGCCCATAGTGTACAGCTGTCGATTAAAATATAGATCTTTAGAAGCAGTCTGTGTATTTAGCTTCACACATCCTCCTGTGTTCCTACAGAGCCTCCAGCACCTCCCACCAACCTGAAGGTCGTGGACAGCACAAAGTCTAGCGTCTCTCTGGGCTGGACCAAGCCTGTGTCCGACGGTGGGGCTCCCATCATCGGATACGTTGTGGAGTTGAGACTGCATGGAAGCACCAAGAAAGGAGACGACGGCTGGAAGAGGTGCAACGTGGCGGCTCAGCTGGTGGTGTGCGAGTTCACCGTCTCCAGTCTGGACCAACAGAATTTGTACGTGTTCAGGGTCTCGGCCCAGAACCAGGTCGGCATGAGCCTGCCCTGCCAACTGGAGGCACCTGTGATCCCCAAGGAGATCCTAGGTAAGGACTTTTTTAGTTGTACATTTCTTGTATCGTAACTAGAGGAGCTAATAGTCCCACTCAAAAGGAACTAAGGCCCCTACAGCTTAACACAAGTTACATTTAAAACTTAACTACCTTTCCATGTTGGTAAATGAGCATCCTTGAATGTGTGAGTAACAATAGAAATAAAAAACTTTTAAATTCTAAAGCTTTCCTTCAGCCAAAGTTTTTTAAAGCTCCGAACAAAGTGTAATTTGTGGCCTGCTCCTCCCCACAGAGGCTCCAGAAGTAGAACTTGACGCAAACCTGAAGCGGGGCCTGTCGGTTCGAGCCGGCTGCCCCATCAGGCTGTGCGCCACCGTCAGAGGACGACCCCCTCCTACAGTTAGCTGGAGGAGGATGGGCCTGGACAATGTGGCGAGGAAAGGGAAGGTGGACATCATCGACACCATGACCTTCCTAATCATCCCCGACAGCACACGCAACGACTCGGGCAAATACTGCCTGTCGGTGCGCAGCCCGGCGGGAGAGAAGGCCCTGTTCGTCAACGTCAAGGTTCTGGGTGAGTTTAGTGTAATAATGCACAGCAGGTCACCTTAGTATAAGACTTCAGTTAACCCATAATTACCGATTAGTAGAATCCTTATCCTGAAATGGGATATCTGTTGAATAAAACAGTGTGAAATTGAACGTCATGTTCTTGTCCTGTCAGACACCCCGGGCCCCGTGATGAACCTGGAGGCCACCGACATCAAGCAGACCTCCGCCAACCTGTCCTGGAGTCCTCCGGAGATGGACGGAGGCAGCGAGATCACGCACTACGTGGTGGAGAAACGTGAGATCGATCGCAAGACGTGGGCGACGGTGAAGGCCGAGGTGGAGAAGGACAAGGTTCCCTTCAAAGTCAGCGGCCTGGTGCCCGGCACCGAGTACTACTTCAGAGTCACGGCCGTCAATGAGTACGGACCCGGGGTCCACAAAGTGAGCCCCACCTCCTACGTGGCCTCCGATCCCGTCAGTAAGTACATACTCACTCTCTACTTTCTACTTTCTCTTTATTCACAGGTGGTGAAGAGAGGGATGTAAATAAACTCCCACACTTAATCTAACTAAAGCTTATATTCATTACAAATTAAGTTAAACTAAATCTTGTAAAATTAACTAGATCATAAAATGAAGATGACAATTATTTAGTTTTGACCAAAGGCATAAAAAGCCCAATAAGTCCACACACTGGGCGACTGTGGCTGTGAGGGAGTGTGGTCGTCTTTCAACCAGAAGGTTGTGGGTTCGATCCCAGCCCATGCAGTCAACATGTCGATGTATCCTTGGGCAAGATACTTAACCCTGAGTTGCTCCCGATGGCATGGCCAACGGTGTGTGAATGTGTGTGAATGTTAGGTCCTAGAGTAAGGTACACTGCTCTGTATGAATGGGTGTGAATGGGTGAATGACATGTAGTATGTAAAGCGCTTTGAGGGGTCTTAAAGACTGGATAAAGCGCTATATAAGTACAGTCCATTTACCATTTACCATTACACACTGGAAATTGTTGAAGCACTAACTCTGAGATATTCTCTTCCTCAGGTAAGCCCGATCCCTGCGAGAAGATCGAGGTTATGGAGATCACGAAGAACAGCGCCATGGTTGGCTGGGTGAAGCCGTCGAGGGACGGCGGGGCCAAGATCGACGGCTACGTGATTGAATACATTGAAGTGAAGCCTCCACCCGAGCCTCCCGCACCAGTGGAGGTCTGTCTGCATTTCAAACACCTTCACATCACCCGCTCCTTTGTTACCCTTTTATGGTTTAGCAGTAAACACAAACTGTACATGATCTAACAGATACTTGTAGTTTAAGCACATTCGTGTTGAGTGCATCTAAAGAGCCGTTGATCTCCGCCAGGTTGCAGAGGGTGAGGAGGCTCCTCCCCCACCTCCCCCTGTGGAGGAGGATGAGGATGAGGAGCCGGAGAAGGAGGTGTGGAGCGCCTACACCACGGTGAAGGGTCTGAGCATCAGTATCAGCGGCCTGAAGGAGAGCAAGAAGTACAAGTTCAGAGTCGCCGCCAAAAACGTAATGGGCCAGAGCTCCTTCACCGAGACCCGCGAGGCCGTGGAGATCAAGGAGCAGATCCGTGAGTCCGAACCCCCTCCCCATAAACCCTCCACACACACACGTTCATGGGGAGCTTCGGAGGTTAACCATGCTTTATTCTCCCCCACAGTGGAGCCGAAGATCGTGATGCCGGAGACGGTCAGTGCCAGAGCCGGAGCCAAGCTCAGGGTGGAGGCGCTGGTCTCAGGTAAACCCTCCCCGACCTGCAAGTGGATGCGTGGCGAAGACGCCGTGGTGCCGTCCAGCCGTCTGGCCGTGCACAAGTCCGGGAACATGTGTGTTCTTATCATCAAAGACGTGTCGAGGACAGACAGCGGCGAGTACAGCCTGGTGGCTGAGAACATCTCCGCCAGGGTCGTGGAGTCCATGAAGATCATCATCAGAGGTCAGTGTGCCGGACATCGTGTGGGAAGTGGAACGACAGGCAGGGTGGTGCATTCAGGTTCTCCTGAAGGGGGTTTATTGGAGATTCTCTGTGTTTAACTTTGTCTCTGTGTTGCAGACATCCCCGGACCTCCCGAGGGCCCGGTGGTGATCAGCGACATCGACGCGGATGCCTGCTCTCTGGCCTGGAACAAGCCGCTGGAGGATGGCGGCAGCAACATCACTAACTACGTGGTGGAGAAGTGCGACCTGAGCCGTGGAGACTGGGTGACGGCCACCTCTTCCGGAGGCCAGAAGACCAGCTGCCGGCTCGGGAAGCTCATCCCTGGGAAGGACTACGCGTTCCGCATCCGGGCGGAGAACCGCTTCGGAATGTCGGACCCCATGCAGTCCGAAAGGATGGTGGCCAAGTTCCCCTTCGGTCAGTTTACCTGTTATACATGTCGTGAAAAACACTTATTTAGTCAAGTACTTGGGTTTGATATCTATCTCTATATTTTATGAATTTGTTATCATATAAAGGGACTATCTTTGAGTTTAGGACTGATAGTTATTAGATGGACCTCAACTGTTACCTTCTGAAGTGTTTTAATAATTATTCTGAAATGGGACATTAAGTACTTTTACTTTTGGTATTTAAGTATTTTTTGATTTCGATGCCAATAATGTAGTTTTGCATTTTTAAATGCAGGACTTTTACTTGTAACAGAGTTTTTTTACAATTTGGCGTTGCTTTTTATTTCTTATTGAATGTGAAGTACAGAGTACTTTCTCCACCTCTGAGTACGTGGTGAGCTGCAGATTTCTCCGATTTTTTATATGAACATTTTTAATTCCCCCCAAGATGTTCCATCGGAGCCGCTGGACTGCCGCATCAACAAGTGCAACAAGGACTGCATGTTCGTGGCGTGGGACAAACCGGAGACCGACGGCGGCAGCCCCATCACCGGTTACTACATCGAGCGCAAGGAGAGGAACAGCCTGCTGTGGGTGAAAGCCAACGACTGCGTGGTGCGCTCCACAGAGTACCCGTGTGCCGGCCTCATCGAGGGCCTGGAGTACACCTTCAGGGTGTCGGCCATCAACCGCGCCGGGCAGGGCAAACCCAGCAAGAAGACCGACTTTGTGACGGCCAGGACGCCTATCGGTGCGTAGCATCTTATTTCATTTATTCCTCACATACTTATGTATATATAATATCCTGCTTTATATTTCGTTACCGTAAATTTGTAATTCAACATGTATATTTTTTACTTTTCTTGAATGCTATTTCATCTCTATTGAGATGTTGACATTTTGGAATGTTTATTTCTAGTCTTTACATTTTTATTGTACAATGCAATGACTTTGTATGCTGCCATAAGGCAAACATTTCCCACATTGGGATCACTAAAGTCTTATATTACACGTTTGCTTTGTGAGATACAGAAAGATGGTCCACTGACTTATTCACAGTATCATTATTATTATTATTATTATCTTTACTATAATGACTTCCCTCTGTTTCTCAGACACCCCGGGGAAACCCGAGGTTCTGGACGTCACCAAGAACTCTGTGGTTCTGGTTTGGACGCGTCCAAAGAACGACGGCGGCAGTAAGATCATTGGTTACTACGTGGAGACGCTGCGTCTGCCCGGAGACATGTGGCTGCGCTGCAACACCAGCAGCCAGAACTGCCCGCGGGAGGAGTACACGGTGACGGGCCTGGAGCGGGACCTTCAGTACCAGTTCAGGGTCATCGCCAAGACCACCGTCAACGTCAGCAAGACCTCCGAGCCCAGCGACCCGGTGCTCGTCTGTGCAGAGAATGGTGAGCGCTGACACAGGCCGGATCTATGCTGAACTAGATATCAGAACCAAATTTAAAAAATGGAAGAATAAGACGGATCTCTGAAATAAACACATTACAATCAATGTCAGAATGAACACAATCATTACAATTTGAGAGACAGTCGAGCAAATCAGTTTCATCAATATCCGTTAATAACAAGTACAGACCAGTTGAAAGTGAGATAACAATGCACATTTAAACATACCCAATGAT